AATGACACTGTGCCAGAATGTGTTTAGCACAAGTCAGACAGAACATGTAAAGTGATTGACAACATAGAGTGTTCTATATATTTAAACTCATATATATTTAAATGAATATATTCAACATATTCTATGTACCTAATCCTGGTGCTAAACACAGTGTGGCACACTGTTATTCAATACTCACAATAACCCATCACTTTACATGTTTTGTCTGACTGTATTTCTTTAGTGATATGCATAGATAGATGGATAGATAGATAGATAGATAGATAGACAGACAGACAGACAGACAGACAGACAGACATAGATAGATAGATAGATAGATAGATAGATAGATAGATAGATAGATAGATAGATAGATATAGATATAGATAGATATACTTGCATAGGGGAACACGGTGGCTCAGTAGGATAAGTACTAGACTGTGAACCACAGGTCAGCAGTTAGAACCCACCAGCCACTGTGTGTGAGAAAGATGTTTCTGCAAATAAGTATAACCTTGGAAACTCTAAATATGGTTGCTGTGAGTTGGAACTGACTCAATAGCACTTAACATCAACAATACATGCAAATAACTAAGCACATATAGTCAGACAGAACACGTAAAGTGATTGGCAAACATAAAGTGTTCAGTATATTTAAACTCATGTAGTTAAGCTAATATATTGAGCATATTCTATGTGCCCAATCCCTGTGCTAAACACATTTTGGCACAATGTCATTCAATACTCAAAATAACCTAATGAGGTAGGAATTAGTATTTCTGTATTTCAGAAAAGAAAACTGAGATTTAAGAGACTAAGGGACTTGAATATTGTCACCAACATAGTGAGTGGCAGAGCTTTTAATTCAGGTCTTTATCAAAACATGATCCTGTTTCCAAGTATTTTTAGAGATTCTTAAAATCTCTAAAAATTTTATTTAGATTGTCTTTTGTCAATCTAGCTCTATGCCGATACTATGAGATTATCTAATTTCCTTTATGTTTCACATGAGTCTGATTATATACCAGCAGTTAGAAACACAGTTGACATTTGGAGTCTGTTGTTGTTAGGTGCCCCCTTATTGGTTTTGACTCATAGGGAACCTACGTGCAACAGAACAAAACATTGCCTGGTCCTATGCCAACCTCACAATTGCTGTTATGTTTGAACCCATTGTTGCTGCCATTGTGCCAATCCATCTTGTGGGGGTCCTCCTCTTTTTTTGCTGACCCTCTACTTTACCAAGCATGACATCCTTCTCTAGGGACTGGTCCCTCCTGATAACACGTCCAAAGTACTTGAGATTAAGTCTTGTCAACCTTGTTTTTAAGGAGCATTCTGGCAGTACTTCCAAGACAGATTTGTTTGTTCTTCTAGTATTACATAGTACGTCACCAACACCACAATCCTAGGTTAGCAAACAACAGGACTCCTTTGCATCAAAGGCAAAGACGTGTTATATAACCCTACCAGGCAAAATCTAGCTAAATTCTTGACTTAAGCCACTTGGAATTAGGACTCCTGTCTCCCACTTGAACTAATCTCAACATCACCATGTCTGAATGGATGGAGTGTTTAAACATATGTATAGTAAATTAAAATGTTTTTATATTTAGTAGTCAAATATAAATGCCCTTTGAATTATCATCCTTTATAATTCCCTTCTCTCTGAAATGTCATATGCCTTCCTCTTCATTTCCTCAGCTATTGGCCTAAGCTCTATCTCCTCCAAAAATGCTACTCTGACCAGTCAAGTAAGCAGTGATTCTTGTTTCACTGAACTTCAAAACATTAATTTCATACTTAACAATTCAAAGAAATAAGTCATTATTTTTCCAGATGTACAAACTCATCTCTCCTAACTAAATATCAGTTCTCCGAGCACACTTTATGTTTTTTCCTACACTTACCTCTTAGCTCTTGTGTATGCATATCGTGATTGCTCAAAAAGTGCTTCTCGATCCATTGCTACCTATGCCTCTGATCTCATACTTTGTTATAAGTGCCTTTGAGTCAGTTTAGACTCATAGCGGTCCTGTTCTAAGGAGCAGGCTTGACCAGCTGGCCAGTGCGGACCCTATGGCACCACACCAGGACTCCCCAGTCTCATATAAATGTTGACAATTTGTAGCTACTCATTTCTGGGCTAAGTGGATTATGTCTACATAGCAAATCTGACAAATTTTTTTGCCATACCAGAGTAGAAATTATTAATTCCTTTACATTAAAAAGGTTGTTTTCCCTATGTCCTATTCCTGAATAACAGGAAAATGTTTTCTTGGCTTTAGGAATATTCCAGATTTACATTCTAATGAGAACATCAAGTTATTTTGCTTGCTGTCTGGACTAGGGGTATAATGTATCATGCTTAATTATATTTAGAGTTAAATGTTTCCTAACAAGAGTGGTGTCCACAAGGTTATTTGATATTATAATTCCCTCTTTTACTTTCCTGGAAACAGAAACAAAAAATTGCTTGTCTTGTTTTGTCTTTGTTGAATTATTCTAAATATTTAATTATTCCTTTGATATACATGATAGTTCTTTTGCAGGTCACAGATTCCCTTAAGGTATATCCATCTCAGTGATTTACAACTAATTAGAGAATGTTAAAGACTGTTGCTAATGGTAACTCAAAGACTTGATAATGGATAGCTCTTGCTTATTTAGTATCAACATTAGTCTGTGACCTTAATTTACCTTAGAAAGTTTATACCCCTCTTTTCCCATTTTTATACCACCACATGCAGTAACAAGCATCACATGAAAGATGTTTATCTGTGAATGAATGAACCTGCTTTAAGATGTTTCTTTATGAATGGGTTTTTTTAAGTGGTGAAGATCTGAACAACTTTGGTTAGAACAGACTTAGAATGAGATGTCTGTATACTAGAAGACAAGCAGGACAAAGTAGTAATTAAAGAATATCAGCTCAAACTGTGACTTAAATTCTGTCACTACCACTTACTAGCTTTCTGATGTTGGCCTGTGGGATAATATCTTCAGTCTCACTTTTCTCATTTGAAATCTAAATAAAATCATAAAACTGATCTCGTAAGTTGCTGTGAGAATTAAATAAACTTCAAATATGTTCAGGAGTCCTGCTGTAGAGCTGTAGGATCAGCACAAAGTTGGTGGTTCAGCCTCTCCTTGGAAACCCTACACAGGGTCACTATGAGTTAGGGTTGACTCAACATAGTAAAGTATGCTCAAAGAGCCCTGGTGGTGCAGTGGGTTAAGCACAGAGCTGCTAACAGAGAGGTTGGAGGTCTGAGGCTATCTTGCTTCCATAAAATTTACAGGCTTGGAAACTCTATGGAATAGTTCTAATCAGTTCTGTTGAGTCCCTACGAGTCATAAATAAGATTTTAATGGCAGTGGACCACAGCATGCTCACTAAGGAATTTCTTTTCAAAGCCCTGAGTGAGCAAATTTCTCTGTCTCATCTACCTCCACCATTTTTAAAAACTATCTCTTTTCCTTTGAGCTTAGAACACTTATTAAGAATATCACTCTAAAAAACGTAATATTGCCAAAGTGATCCATTCTTAAGCAACCATCAGATATACACATAAAAATTATACATAAGAGAGCTCTACTATTGAACAAATAACCTAAATATATAATTCTAGGGAAACGACTAAATCAAACAATCATAAAATTTACTGTTACACAGAGGAAAACAATTTAAGACTAATATATATGTATATATAATTTTAATGCTATGAGATAAGTGCTGGACTGTTAACTGGAAGGTTGTTGGTTCAAACCCACCAATCACTCCTTGAAAACCCTATATAAGGTTGCTGTGAGTTAGAACCAC